CCAGGAACAGATAAGTTAGCTCCCCGTGCTCTTAAGTGCGTATTTCTTGGTTTCTCAAGAACGCAAAAGGGGTATCGATGCTATTCCCCTGACCTCCAACGGTACCTTATGTCTGCTGATGTTACCTTCTTTGAAACCCAATCATACTTCACAGGTCCAGGTAATCACTTACATATTTCTGAGGTACTACCAGTCTCTTCTTTTGGAGATTCAGTCACTATCTCCCATCCATGTTCCTCTACATCTCCAGCTCCACCACCTATAGCTTCCGTTCCACCATCTATAGCTCCAGTTCCACCACCTATAGGTCCAATTCCTCCACATAATCCAGTTCAACCTTCTGCAGCTCCGCCACTCTTGACTTATCATCACTGTCCACATCCAGCATCAGGCCCAGGTTGTGAGAAAGCACGGGAGAAAATATGATATGCAAAAGATATTCATTCATTTTAATCGGGAAAAGGAAAAATGAAATGAAATGTCAAAGTAGCTATTCATTATAATTTCCCACATTACCTCTTTCTTTCTTTTCTTTTATAAGTGTCTTCTTCCCCCCCCCCCCTATCTTCAGTCTTACATTGAAAGAAATTTTTCTTTTGAGCTTTCAGTAAAAAATAGTCATGACTCAACTCTTGGTTCAAAGAAAGGGTCATGGACTCGTGGGAATAAGCAACCTCAATTTAAAGTAGATGGCCCCGTTGCTTGGAAACAAGGAACTATATCATCCATTCAGTATGCAACACAATGTAATAAATCTCTTAACGGGAAATTAGAAATAAATTAACCATTCTCAAGTCATTTTATCTTACACAGTCACATGGTAAAAGATAACTTCTGGCAGTTGATACACTATCTGAATCATTAACGACTATTGAAGATGAGTGGGACCATTGAGAAAGTTTAAGAATTTGGCTGGTTAGAAATGAGGATCTACTAAGTAGTGTTTGGTTTTTATTGGAAGATTTTATTTTCCTTGAAAAAGTTAAAAAAAATTTAATGGTAATAACTAGGACTTAAACTCACGAGCCACTAAAATATTTTGAACCATGACTACGTGTATCCTTTTCTATGCTCAAAGCAAAGGATGTTTTCTAATTTTGAGAACACAAAAGAATGCCTCAGTGACAATCAACTATACGCGGGGAAACCTAGAAAATTATCAGTCTGTCTCAGACCTAATTGAGACTCTTGATGCAAACCAAGCAGTGTTGACAACCTAATATAACACACTTGCAAAAACAAGAATCCAGGAATAAAAGATTTTTAGCTGCACATACTTCGGCCATTAAAACACAGTCCTGACTAAGTCTCATGCCCAATAAATCCATGAATGTATCTGACCTGACTTCTTCAGAAGGTGACAAATTGCACTAACAAACGAAACGACACAGTTGCGCTGCTCAAAATCCAAATGTTTGCTCCCATCTACTATACCCTACAAAAGCACCAAACACCAAAGAATATTTAACAATCAAAATATTTTTTACTCCAACTCCCACATCAATGAGAATATAGTACATAATAAAATAAGAAGAAAATGATATCAAAACTTCAAGTCTCAATGATCAAAGCCAATAATAAAGCAAATTTTTAACAATGATAAAGGATTTTCCGGGAAAAGTGAAGAAGATATATTTACATGTCTATAATGAAGCATATAGAAATGTGAATCTTACTGCGCCACTGCTATCAGATTCACATATCCCTTCTTTTCCTTTTTCCGTATTTTTCTTTTTCCTTTATGATAGGCAAACAATTTACTAAACGAAAAACTTATAAAAAACAATTTCTTACAAGAAACAACCCAAGGAGGATGCACTGGGCGGATGCAAGTATCAGCTCGACCTCTGTATATATAGTTATTATTTTTCAGAAAATATAAACCCACACGAGTTCATACACATTGTCACAAAGGTGAATTGGATTCGGCAACCACTAATCTAAAATCCTGCATCTGCCTCTAGGGATGCAATTGTATACAGTTAAGTACAGAAGCTCCAAAAGATAAACCTTGTCAAAGAAATAACCCTCTCCCCACCCCACCCCCCCAAAAAAAAAAAAATTTGATAACAGGAGGGTGTCTGAGTTAGCTTGAGTGCACCATGGCTAATTCCGCCGAGTACATGCTACCTTCCACCAGCACAGGCACCAGGTAACTTTGTCCATCCCACAAAATAGAGTGTGATACAATAGGTAATTTGCTATAGCCTTCGAAAGCAGTTGCAAAATGAGTAGCTCACGTGGATGGCCATTAAGTACCAAGTTATTTAGCTCGTTTAAGCAGTACTTATTACTTATGGCTTAAGTTAGCAGTGCATTTTAGCGTCTTTAGTACATTCTAGGTCTATGAATAATACCTTGCTGAAAGTGGGAAACTCGTTGAGGAGAGTAGAGAAAATTGATGAAGGAGCAGCGTTTGTCGAAGCCAATATACAGTCCAGCATCCCCGGAATTGCTGCCGGAGGTACTTGCCGGAAACTGCTCAGAAGTGATTCGACGATTGGGTCCATTGGCGTATCCATCGGCGAGTCCAATTCCGCAGAGGAAATAAGTAATAATGGAGTTTTAACGGCTAGTTTTTTATGCCGATAAACCCTAAACCCAGAAAGAGCGCCAGCGAGCTGGGATTTATGGAGATCGTTGGAGTTTGCAAATATGTCCTCCTGCTTTTTCGTATTTGTATTTGTATCTTAGAACTTAGGAAAAGGTCCAAATGTATCATTAACTTTGCGATTATGTCTTAGATATGTCTTTCCTTTACTTTTTGGCTCATAAGAACCCTATCCTTATTTTTCGTCCCAAATATGCACCCCTCGCTAATAGAAAAATTTTTCTAAGTAATGTAGTGGTATTTGAATATTTTCAATTGTTCATCAACATATTTGAACTTTTTCAATTTATTAAGACTCAATTTGAAAAGGAAAAAAAAGGTAAAATACTTCGACAACCCCTTAAACTTTTTAGTATATTTGGTTTAAACCTTTGAACTAAGGTATGTTATAATTGAACGTCTAAACATATAATAAAGTTTTTCTATTAGACACTTGTAGGTCAAACTTTAGAAAATCTTCTGCGTGTATTCTCAAGCCCCGTTACATGGATAAATTAACCACTTAAAATATATTACATCCTTTAATTATACACATCAAGAAAAAACTTTTACATAACAAACAAAAACATACGGGTCAATTAAAAAAGAACTCAATAAACTAAACGCAAACTCTCACTTCGTTAAACAATAATCCTGATTCGTTGAAAAAAGAAAACCAAGAGCCATTTTTTCATAATTTCCTCACGAGTATCTAATTTAATACCACGTTAATACTATGTTTGATTAGCAAACCAGGTATAACTTAAAAAGGGTGGGGTAATTAGCACCAGTATAACTTATACTTTCTTTTTAGAAATTATGCAATTGTCATTCTTAATACTAACATACCAAACAGTGAATAAACAACAACCACAGCATAACTAATCTCAGCATAACTTATCCCAACATAACTTATAAATCCTAATTCCAACCAAACCAACACTAAGAATTATTATTGTATTCCGCCCAAAAAAAAAAGAAAGGAAATCACATGTAGCCTCTAAGATTCAGTATATTCCCAAAAAGTTGAGGCTTTTTATATGGCAATTGACACTTGGCAGCTTACTCATTTCCCATTAGCCACCAACCAATTGGAACTGAAGCAACAACAAGACAAAAAGCCAAAACAATCGATAAGAACCCCTCAGTATCTGGACTGTAATGTGTACATGGGCAATCTCAAAATGCAGTCTTTTTCACCATTTTCCTCTCTTTCTTTCTTCCTTCTCTTAACAACTCCGAGTAATTCCCTTTCATTCTTACTTCTTTAATTAAAAAATTCCATTAATCATTTGTGTATGTTGCTTATGTTTCTTTATATATTAAAGTTCTTTCAGGTTTTGTGAAAACTGCTTTAACCCAAGATGGGTTTTGCTCTGCGCCATCAGTTCTTGATGCTGATTCTGATTCCAGCACTCAGCCGCTTTACTGGAAAGTTACTAACCCCACACTCTCCCCTTCTCATCTCCAAGGTCAGTACATATTGTTTGGCTCCATATATACTCTATTGGAAATAAGAGAAAAACAAGAATCCATCAAGTTCAGTTTTTGATTGTTGTGAATTTATCAAGTTCATGTCTGATTACAGGTAGATTAAATTAGACTAATGTGAAAGGCTTTTATATTGTCAGTGTATAACTTAAAGTTATTGGCTAATGGTGTGCAATGAAAAAGTTGCTGAATGCTATTGTTACTTGTTTGATTATAGACATGCCGTGGTTAATATTTATTCATGCCCGGTGTTTACACCAAACCATACTTATTTACCATGGCCAAGTCACAAATTAAGTGCGAATGTGTATAGATTAACTATGATTTAGTGATAAGAGTATATGTATTTATTTCTCAAAAGAAAGATAAGAGTGTATGTGAATACATGTATCCTATATTCATTGGCTGGGTGTAAACATTAGGTGCGGGGTAAGATTTTACCGTGTTCTATTCTCTTAGCAACCCCGCAAACAATTAGATGTCTTTTTCTTAGGATATCTTTTAGCATTGTTTTACAATGACGCTTTTGCAAATTTTGCTGAGACAATGATGATGCAGATGAAACTAAATTTTGGGCTATTTATTTGGTTATTAATTTATTTATTCTTTGTTTGCTTGCAGACTTGCCCGGATTTACTCGTAGTGCATATAAGAAGGACCATGCTTTCATTACTCCTGAAAGCCATGTATTCAGCCCTTTGCCTGATTGGTATGCTTAACCAACCATTTGCATTGTCTGGTTGATAGATTCATAAATCTTGGTTGATCGCTCATCTAAAACAATTTGGCAGGTCGAATACTTTAGGCGCCTATCTAATTACACCAGCAATCGGCTCGCATTTCGTCATGTACTTGGCAAAAATGCAAGGTGTCTTCTTGAGTGTTTCAATGTTGCTGCCATATTTTTGCAGAATAATTAAGGATCTTTTCATGTTAATCTGCCATTTAAGCTTTCATGTTTATATATTATCCGGTGGTCTGGTTTCAGATTAAGTTCAAAATGTCAGGGAGGGTGGTGGGTGCATCCCTATTTGTATTCTCCTAATTTAAGAGAAACAAAAGGGAAAAAAAAGTATGTAGAGAAAATGCTATGAAGACCAAAACAAAGGCTTCTAAAGTCTATTATATCCTATTTAAACTAACAAGAGTGAAGACTCTATGGGCACATCATGATACAGACAGTAGTCTCTATCCTCAGCTCCAAAACCAAATGATGTTCGCCAGAAAAAGTTGCATGATGCATTCTGTAAGCGCTCTATGAATGTTTGGTTGTAACTATTTGCAATTTTTCCTTCTTGCAGAAAATTCAAAATCAGGGCTCCCTCCTAGTGGTGTTGAAAGGTGGGCAGACTTTTAGATTGTTTCTTTTTCCAAAACTTCCTTCACGCTGAGTATACTTTAAACTTGGCACATGCTTTTTTCAATTAGAGCCTCTTGTGCAAAATTTTTCTAATTACTATTTCACAGCGAAACAAAAAGTTCTAGTACTTCCTTTGTATAGTTTTTCTAACTTGCAAATCAGGTTCATTTTTGTGGTCCAGGGAAGTGTGGTTCTCACCAACATGTCCGGGAATGTCCACAAACTAACAGTACGCCAACTGTACTTTTATGGCCTGCCATTTCTCTTATTACTGTAATGAAGTTTGAGAAGCTGCTGCTACACAGCTGGTATAATGCCAGGCAACCATCAATTTTGTGTATAAGGAAAAGATTCTACTTCATTTTTCCTATTCATGGCAGCAGATATCAATTTGCTTCCCCAATGATGCTTTAACTTATAGTTGTTAAGACTCCATTCAAATGTGAGTGCTAAGCTTTAGGTTAAGGCTATATAGTGGAATTTGTTTCAGTTATACAGTGTGTTGTGTATTATAAAGTTATCCAAAATGGCTTATAGTGGTCTTACACTACTCCACCCATTGCTTAGTATTTTGGGACAGAGCATGGACTCTTTAGTGCAAAGTAGGTAAATCCTGTTTCATGTTTTAGCACCGCCTATCAACAAAACATTTTGACGTACTTGATCCAAGAAAAAAGGACTCAGAAATCGATATGAGGGCTGTTGTAGACTAAAATAAATAAAGAAAAGTTTCATTATCTTTTCAGCAATTTCCAACCTCCATGAGATTTTGAGGCCCTTTCTATAGCTATCTGATACTTCTTCAAATATGTCAACCGAATTTGAGAATTTTGGTCTATTCTTTTTATCAGTTTCTGATCTCATCTCTCAGATTTTAAGGGGCCCTTTTATCCAGTATCTCTTCAATGATGTCATCTATATTAGAATTTTGGTTATTGGATGAGAAATGGTGATTTGACAATAAGGAGCCTATCTTATAATTATGAGTTCCTAATATACAAGACGCTGAAGCTGTCGTCTCCTTGTTTCTCTTACTCCTAGATTTCACATGGTATTGGAGTCAATCATTAACAATCCCATTTTTAAAATCGTAAGTCCCCATTAGATCACAAGTCCAAGTATCAACTCTAGAATCAGATTATACGTGTGGGAGGACGTTGAGTTCTATGGTGTCCCAATTCAGGCATTTAAGGACATTCCCAAGAGTTATATATAGGTCTTGCCGTCTTGGTATACTCCAATCGTTACTTAAGATTTTAGTTTGGTAATCAGATTTCAAAACTTTATTATTCTATCTTACCTTGACATCTTTCAATCAATAAGTAGATCCACCTGCCTCTTCCCCCCTAAGACAACTTGAATGAAACCTGTAGACTTATTATGCCTTCTAACTTCAAATGCAGGTTGATTCGTATGCTTATCTGCCTCCCAATTTTGTTCATGCAGTGGAAACTGATGCAGCTGCTACTCTTGTTGTATTTGAAAGGAGGTCAGTCTTTTATTTCATGCTACCTCATGTTGCTGTCATTCCGTACACTCGGATTGACTTGTGGCATCATAACAACATGCGTTCAACATCTAACTTTGATTGCCAGGTTTCTTGTATATTTTAATTCTAAATGCTCAAAGTCTTCTGTTTTAGGTATTCTCGCTTGGAAAATCATGTTACTGAGCAAATTGTTGGTTCAACAGAAAAGCAGCCCCTTCTTGAAACTCCTGGCGAGGTATTCTTTTCCCATCTCTACAATTTTTAAATACAATTTGATTCCCTTATTTGAACTATATTATTCTATTTCTTTCTCCTCTCTATTCGAAATCATAAAATTCAGGTCCCTTGGAGAGAGAAAGGAGGTTTCTTTTTCCTTATTGTTAGAGTTTTGGTTTTAATAGTAGAATACAATAACATCCTTTTTATTTCCATTTCCTTTTATGTTGCCAGATTTTTGAGCTAAGGAAGCTTCTACCAACATCTTTAGCTTATGATTTCAATATACACGTGAGTTCTACCGCTTATTCGTGGCTATTGTTTCACATTACTTGTACCTAATTTATTATACTCCGGATAACTTTTAACTCTGACATATGAGCTTGCTTAGAGTTGGTAGAGTTGAGTAATATAAAACTTCTGCAAATGAATGAAATTTTGCTTAGATGTAAACAAGGTTCCTCGAAGCTGGCTGAAAGTGTATCCATAGTAATTTTTACCCACAGGCAAACT